CGATCGATGATAGGATGGAGTAGAAGTGTAAGATGTGAATGCAACGAAGCAGAAGGCCAGAAAGAGCTTCTAGTGAATGCACTCCAAGAACCAAGTTTGAGCATCCCCGTCGCCAGCATTCGTGAAAGACGTCCGTGGGCAATTCGAACGCGTAGCAGCCTTTTCGAGTTTTCGAATTTCTAATCAAAACGAAAGCAATACTTCAGTTCTTTTCACTATTATCGTGGATAATGAGTCTCAAGCCAGTGATTTATGGCTGAAATAGAATCATGATTTTTCCGCGCAAGATTCCTTTAAGCTGGAAACAAAGGCAGAAACAGAAGCGACATTAGTGTCAGCCTAATACTCCAACTGAAACTGTGTTGTTCAACGCGAGTATAATTTTTTTCTTTAGCCAAAATTCTGCAATGTTTTTGATTCATTTACTTGTAGCAGTGCGCCTTATTTACACTACTTATCATCGCTTATCAGGGCATGCAGCTCAAGTCGCCGTTTTTTTTTGGAGTTTCGGAGGTCAGCAGTCTGGCACACATCCAGTACTCATTTACCGCATTCTCGATTCCAACTTATGCTACGTTTTCTATTATGTGAAGAGAACGAAGACCGCAAAATATTATAAATGCCATGGGTGTTACAAAAATAATAAGAAGAATACAGCGGTTAAAGTTAGTCTTAGAGACCGCTTGTGAGGGGAATTTAACGCGCAGACTTTAACGCAGATCGCATAGGTGATGGACAACGTGGAGTTCAACAAGGATCTCCGCACACTACCCCACACATGTTTACCGACCTAGTGGGCGAAAGACAAAACTAACCGGAAGTTGTACGAAGTAATTCGTATTTGTTTATCACCACGAGTGAATTCCTGAACTAGATTGAAAGTTTGCAGAAGTACCAGGAGCTACGCAGTCGAAACGCGGATGCGGAAAGAACTCCATACGCGGAGTATCTGCGGCTGCTGATGAATGTGAAAAGAGATGAATGCCTGAGTGAGTGTCAGATCGCATGAAATGCTTCGTGTTCTGTAGCACGTCATTTCTAGGCGAAAGCGATGAAAGAGAAGTTCTCATGCATCTACATGAACAAGAAGTATAGCCGTTTGTTCTCCAGGTAGAGCAAACAGAGCTAGCATTCGTGGATGATTCGGTGGAGTTGTAAAAATTGATTCTTCTTAGAAACAAGCATCTGCGCGACAACCGTGTTACTAAAATGTGCCCGACAGCCTCTCTCTAAATCCAGACGGAACCCGATTTTTGCAAGTGCAAAATCCAGAGATGCACATATATTATATTTCTCTGAGCACCTCATAAAGGCAAGTCTTCGATAACTTCGTACAACAGCCGGTGATCCTGATGCGCATACAGCAGATGGAGCCAGAATGGGTTGGACACGATAGTAGAAGATGGAATGTTTAGTATTTTCCCTGATAGAACAGTGAAGAACGGTCAACTGTACACTATCCATGGAATATGCAATGGGAAGGTACTGTAATTGCACAGCAGCTTTAGGGAACACATTTATTCGTGCCATTTTAGGTAGCAGTGCCTCTATTGTTCGCGCTGACAGACAAGAAGACCACGAGAGCATATACAGTAGTCTGGAAGGAGCTCAAAGGTGATTGGCGTCCTAATGGTGTTCTTTAATTCCCGACGATTCGGTAGTTCCAGGTGTGTTGGAAACGGAACAACGACCGCTGGGCCGGATCAACATCGTTCTTGATTTCGAGCGAGCCGCAATTAGTGCTGTTAAGAAAGTGTTTCCGAATGCGGATGTCCAAGGCTGCGCGTTTCACTTGTCCAGAGCTTGGAATCGTGAAGCGTACCGTCTTGGATTACGCAAGTTCTTACGCGGCGAAGATTCTGATCAACGCGTTAAGAAATGGTGGCGCACGGTAAAAGGACTTCCATTCCTTCCTCCTCATTTATATCACAGAGTATCTGCCTTGTCAGTGATTCCTGTGCCATCAAGGCATCCGTGCTACCGTATTTGTCGAAAATTCCTTAAGTATTTGCAGCGATCATGGATTCGCGGGCCCTTTAAAAACCTTTGGAATAAATTTAACAAGGAGGTACTGCGCATCAGTGATGCAGCGGAAACGTTTCACAGTTAACAAAATCATATAAGGACTCAAAGGTCCAGAAGTGCATGTTCACTTTCAGCATTATCGCGTCAGTGTTCAAGAGTCGACGTCCTTCTCTTTCCCAACTCTTGGGACTTTTGCATGAACTGAACGTTCACACTGAGGCTAAGCTAATCCATCACGAGAAGGTAGGATTTTGAAAAACCCGGGTGGGATCTTAATTTTTTTCCAGTTCCCAGCTGCCGATGTCGAAATACAAGAAGATTTTCAAAGGCGCTGTGAGATCTTGAGAAAAATGAGTAAATTCTCAGAAAAGATGAGTCGCTCTTACCTCACAACAGTGGTGATCAATCGCTACTGCAGGCGAATGTCACGTTATGTCACAACAAAGGCGTATTTCAGAGATATAAGTCCATTCTGGGCATTTGGCGATCCCTATGGAGCTACATAACTGAGTATCATTTTTAGGAGCATGAGCTCATATCGGCAGGTCGTAGACCTACTCCGGCTCACGATCTTCTTCACATGCAGCTGTGAAAGAAGGTGACCACAAAATAACAGGAGCAAGAAATAATATTGCTGTTTTTTACTGTTGCTGTGCACAAATATGACAACTGTGTGTTCAATGCTCACTAAGGATTATTTAGTGACAATGAATGAAAATTGCAATGACAATCGCTTTTTAATAAGATCAGTGAGATTGGTCAGCGTGGCGTACCATGCCCGCTATGCCCGCTAAATTAGTGCGGACAGTTCCTGGCGCTGATGCACCCGCCTACAATCGTATACCTACCCCATCGCATGAGGATTAACTTCCATTATGATAGTCCACTTTTCGGAGTTGCTTCTACCTTGTTGCAATATGGCGGTACTTTGTGATGGGAGGACTTCCAGATGACGCCAGAGTGAAGAAGCTTCATTTCTGCACATAGGTCCTCTTTCAGTTACCTGGCTGCAGTAGTTCCAATGCCTGGCGCTGCTGATGGCCACAACACATACATTCCACTATACGTTTCGTTATTCCTAAGAACTCCTTCATTGCCACTGTCCTCCACAATGTTGAAGGACACTCAGTTGGTTAAGTAATGCGGCAAAATTGCTACAATTGGGAAGTATACTTCGTGCAAAATAAAAAAATGTGCATATCCACGTAAACAGAGATCGTCAATATGCTGAGCAAAAGTTCAGAATCGATGTCAGTTTCGAACTTCTTACAACGGTGGAAAATAACAAGGAATTAAAGAAGAAAGTCCCTCAGTACCATTTTTAAGTAGGGTAATCGAGATGCATAACAGACAAACATAAGGAAGTAGTGAAGGGCTCACAGTACCCTAATGACGCTAGAAAGGTGAGAAAACCGGCGCGATGACAACGAAAGATGCCGCCGCAGCCGTGTCGATCCAAATGAAAGCCTAAAAGTGACAACATTAGTCGATATACATAACTTGCAAACATAAGGAAGTAGTGAACGCGCTCACAGTACCCTAATGACACTAAAAAGGCGAGAAACCGGCGCAATGACATCAAAAAAAGTAAAAAAACGGCGTGGTGGACAACGGGATGTCACATCACATCTGTATCAATATAAATGAATGCGCCCCATTGCGATTCGCGCGCCCCATCGAAATCAACCGCGCGCCCAACCTTCTCGCCGCCCCATCGAAATCAACCGCGCGCCCAACCTTCTGTGCCGCGATCACCGCGGCCACGCCGAATTGGTTAGGTGTTGTCTGGGTGCCGAACAGTAGTCGTGCGTTGTGTCAGAGGGATCAAAGTCTTCCGCTGCGCAGCGTTCAAGCCGTAATGAAGGCGCCACGTGAGAGATCGTGCCCTATCACTGGACTGATTCTGAGCGCCTCTCGTGGGCTGATGTCTCCAGGCGAAGTTCGCACAGGATGAGCGCTCGGATGGTCTCGCGGGAGAAGTTGATTTTATGCAAACGCCACTGTTGGAAAAGCCGATGGGGCACTGTACGCAGCACAGTCCGCTTCTTTAATATGTATACAGGGGGAGGGAAAAAAAAGACATTTTGCCCATGTCGCACTTCGGCCCTTTTTTCTTCGCAGAGATTGCCGTCGTTGACGGAAGTTCCTCAGCAAAATATTCCCTAAATGTCCCTCTATAAGTACACGCAGGCCCTCCTTCACTACCCTCACCGTCTTCAGAATATGACGTCATCTGTCATCCGTCGTCAAGCTCAAGGAGGCCTACCGTAACTGCTTCAGCCTGAAGCTCTCACATGATTTCGTGAATCGATTCAATAGTGGATCCTTTCGTGAAGACATTGGCTCCCAATATGCAGGCTCCCTCGAAACTAACGCTTCTTCAGTAGGGGACGTTATGGTATACAATCCATTGAGCTCAACCAGTGCACTATTTTTCCGAGTGAGAATTTTTCTAATGCCGTCCACGGTGGTGGACACTATGAAGATTTTCTTATAGAATGAAATGTGCTTTTCAATACTAAGTTGGGCCCATTCGGTTTGAATTGAGCAAAGTGTGATTAAATCCATCTGAGTGTGGAGACAAAATGTCTTTTTTTATTGGCCCCTCTTTATAATCCACGTAAGATCTTAGAGCATTCGGAAAAATCTAGAAACAGATCGAATTGAGTGAATTCAAGACTTTCTTTTCGAACCTAATAGCCTTTTCAATCTTTTGGTTGCTGCTACTCCTCTAATGGGAAATTGATCGACTATTCTTTATTTTTATAACGTTTTGGTGGTTCTTTTGGCTTATATCATTTGCATTCTCGTTTGTTCGCACTCGCGCTTTCACTGGTTTCTTTATGCGCTTTCGTTGGTTTCTTTTGGCGCGCCGTTTTCGTCATGGATTTTCAACCGTGATTTGCTAAGATGAGAACAGAATGCCTTCACTCGTCAGTAGTATTTTATTGAACCTGATGGCGAACACTATCCGACCATACATAACGTTTCGGGGGGCAGATTCCTGAGTCTTCTAATCGGGTCTAGGAATTACCTTATATCAAAGAACACTAGGAGAGGAAGCAACGCAACACAGGCGTCGAGCTGAGTGCGAAGTATGCGGTCGCGGCGGACACGCACTCACGTCAGGACCACAGTAGCCTATCGGTTGCTTGCTTCAGATTCTTGTTCCGCTCATCTGTTTTGCTTTTATATTTGTTATGAATTGAGTCGAATTTTAGCCCTGAGGTCTTCTGTCCACGAAATTGATCACATCATTTTGAAAAAAAAAATTTATCCGAGAAGATGAAAAAGTCAACCAGGCATACATTTCTAACTTAGTAATGACCTGTTCTTAACATTTCCACTAGATTTTCAATGTCTCGGCTGCAAAAAGTTTTCGAGCTAGATTGCAAGAAGTGGTGCTTGACCGTCGAGTTCTGGTTGAAAAATCAAGTCTGGGAAAAGACCAATGCGATTGTTGGGAAGCCTAATTGCGGAATATTTAGGAAAGGTTGTAGTTAAGCTGATGGTCAGTCACTGGCTGATTCCGCCTTCGAAAACACAGAGTTAGGGCTATTTTTCTTTGACTGGAACACCATTTTGCAGGCCTAACGTTTAAAAACTCTGCAATGAATGTAAAAGATGAACAGAGCTTTTTGTGAAGCAGACGATGACCTTTCGAATAGTCATGAGTTGTGTAAAAAACTTGCGGAACATGGAGGAAAATTTTCTGTTTGAAAAAAGCGACAGTACCTATGGGACAACCTAATACATGCGACTGTTTATACTACACTTCGGTACCAGTGTTTGTTTCACGGCGAAGAGGATGGATAAGTGAGTCTCTTGAGGAGCTTGAGTCCCTTGTTTTTACAGGTATGAATTTTATTGTTTGCCAGCGGCTAGCGAACGTAATGATGTCGAAAAAAAACAGAATTTAGCCACATGTACAATTTTAGAGCGGAACATATCGAAATATTTCACCTTGAGTCTCATTGTCAGGAGGTCCCCATGGCTAGGCGGAGATTTCCGGTTAATTTGTTCGAAAAAGCAGATAACAATGGTTCGAGACAAACGTGGCTCCAACAGCATTGTATTAGATCTTGTGGCATATCGGTTGCATAGGTATGTTCCATTGTTGGAAGGCCTACTTTTGGAAAGCATGGGGAAAACGTAGAACATCGCGTTGGTCTCCCAAATGCGTTCAAAGATCGCCTGAGCTAAAGTGCAGAATGCTTCACTTGTGCTCGGATGGTTTATATTTGATCACTGCTCAGTGCACTCTGCCAATTTTTTAAAGCAACTGCAAAATTGAGAGATATCCATCTCATTTGTATATAGTATTTTCGCAATGCTCCAACATTACAGATATTGGCAAAACAGATTGAAACATATCGATACCCATTCTCATTCATGAAATTTTGAGAACTCAGAAAAATTTTCATCGAAAAAAGAATTTTGAAGTGAATACATAAATAGGAAATAATAGAAAAATCAAAAGAATAAATCAAGATCAAGTGGATAAACATAAAAAAGAAAACGCTGAAGAAGCTACAGGAAGTTTCCACG